GATTATCTTCCGTAAGAAGAAGGCAATCGGGTGCTAGTAATTGTTACTAGCCTACTGTAATATAATAGCTAATATAGCGAACTGTAAAGCGTTAGTTTTAATACGGATCTGCCTGCTTAGTACGAAATAGTATAACAAGGGAACTTTAGTAAAGCGTTGCTTTAAACCGTTAAAAGCGGCTTGTGCTTTGTTAGTCTATTTGAACTCTCTAGATAGATTAGCCTTAGTTTTAGTAAGTTTAGTTAGAGGCATTACATGCCGTAAATAGCCTTTAATAAAGCGGCGATAGAAATTAGCGAAGCCGAGGAACGACTGTAGCTCCTTAATAGATATAGGAACAGGCTATTTAGTAATAGTCTTAATCCGCTTAGGTTTAGCCTTAATACTATTAGTTAATACAAGGAAGCTAAGGAAGGCTACCTCTTTAGTAGCAAAGGTGCATTTAGAAGGCTTGCAATATAGGCTATAGGCCCGCAGGCGGTCGAGCACCTTACGTACTATAGCCTAGTACTCTATAATATTAGGTAAATAGGTATAAACTAGAATATTATCTAGGTAAACTATATACAGGTAGTCTAGTAGGCCTAGCAAGGCCCGATTAATATAGGACTAGAATGTTATAGGGGCATTAGCTAGCCTAAATAGTATAACTAAGTACTTAAAATAGCTATAGCGAGTACGGAAGGCTGTTTTCTATTCGTCGCCCTTACGAATACAGATACGATAGTACGCATCCTTAATGTCTAATATAGTATAGAAACAGGCGCTAGAAAGGCTATCGAGGGTCTCGTTAATAAGCGGGAGTAGACAACGGTCCTTAATAGTAACAGCATTAAGCCTACGATAATCGATATATAGGCGTAGGCTACTATCCTTCTTTAGTACGAACAGGATAGGTGCACTAGCAGGGCTGTTACTATACCGAATACGACTATTAGCTAGGTTTTACTCTAGGTACTTACGTAATATAGCAAGCTTACGCTTACTAAGGTTGTAGAGCGGCCCGAAAGGAACCTCTTTGCCTTCTATTATATTAATCTTATAATCTGTCTCTTTAAATATAGGCAACGTCGATACTAAGTAGTGTTTAAATATATTAATATAGGTTTCTTAAATAGGCTCTAGTATACGAGCAAGCTGATTAGGGTCTGTACTATTAGGGGGCATAGGTTTATCGTTATTACCTCTAAGTAGGTCGGTAGTTAGATTAGCTAAGGCAGGTATTAAGTTGCCGATAAATAGGACCCTAATATTATTAGGGCACTCGCTAATATTAATATATTTAATATCCTCTTTTCTAGCAATTCCAAATCGCTACTATTAGCTACCTAAGTCTATAGCTATAGCGTAGTACTTAAGAATAGGGTTTCCGAGGACAATGTCGGCTAAGAGATTGTCTATATCTACTGCGTAGGCAGTGAAGTCTAGAAGGCGCTTATTGCCGAGGTCGTCTCTTAGTACTATATAAATATAGTAGGCTCTATAGGTTAGGTGCCGAGCGTTATTAAACTAAGCAAGGACTAGCATATTAGTCTTAGGCAATTTTCAAATTTCGGAGGTCTAATTGCTTAGCTAGTCGATAGTTAATAAGGGCGCTAACTAAATTGCTAGGATCTAATATAACCTTAGCTTTATAGTTAGTATCGCGCCTAGATATAAGATAGGTACGTATAATAGCTAGTACAATGTCGATAGTCTTACGCTGTACGAGGCTAACGGTTAGTACGGCGCCTAATCTTTTTTCGACTAATTAGAAGGTTAGCCTATAGGGGTAGCGTTAGCTACTAAAAGGGCTTTTCGGTACTTAGCGGTAGTACGGTCGACTCGGGCCTAGTCTCGAGGCCTATTATATTAGCCTAGTAAATAAGTAGTGCTATTACAATTGAAGCACTTGTATCTAGTTAGGGTACTGCTAGGGCCGCTCGAATTAGTGCCGGAATTAGATAAACGATTAGGGGCATATAGAAATAAGCCCCTTCCTTATCCTCTTCCTCGCTAGAGGCTTCCTCTATAGTATCGACCCCTACCTCTTCTACGTTAGTAGTCGTTGCTGTTTCTATTATTAGTAGTGTTAGTTTAGGGAGTACTTCCTTAGTTTCTACTACGGCTACGGTTGTTAGCGGCTAGTCGTATCTTAGATTCTAACCGTTACTAAAGCTATACTATACGCTCTATAGTTTCGACTTCTACTATAAATTAAATACGTATAAGATTAGTCTATTTAAACATACGGCGGCGATCTAATTTAAGGACTAATTCCTATCTTAATTTAGGTCGTACTTCGGAGATCTAGATAGAGTCGGTCTTAGCTAGCAAATCGTCTTTAAGGGTCTTTAAATAGGCCTCGAAGGATCGAGAGGATTAGTCGGCCTTTTGCTTAGTACGTAGGTATTAGTCCTATATATATTGCTATCGCAATATAGGGTTGCTAAGGGTGTTTAGTATAATAGTCTTATAGTCTTGCTATTAAACAGCGGTCTAGTCGTAAAGGGAATTAAAATAGTTATCCTATATACGCTTAGGGTTACTATTAATATACTATATAGTATAGACAACTAAGGAGTAGTCGTCTAGCAGCGCTCTTAGTGCGTTACGCTAGTTAAGCTCGCAGTTACGAATATGCTTATTGTACTACTTTCGACTAGAGCTATTAAATATAGTATAGTCCTTAAGTTTAGCGTCTTTCTTTAATACGGCTACGGGGCCTATAGGCAATAGTGCCGCTACTAAGTCGACGGTAGACGCTAATTAATCCTAGATACGTCGTATCTCGAGGAGGTTCTCGCGTAGCTATTGCTCTTATTATATAGTAGCGAGATAGTTACGAGCGGCTTCTTCTAAACGTTCCCTCGTTAGGGGACTAATTAAAGGGGCGCTATAGCGGCGACTAATAATATTAGTAAGGATATTAGCGTTAGTCGCGGTACGGTCTTCTTTATCGTTTTAGTTGCTTCTTAGCGCTATAAGGATAGTCTAGTCTGAATCTCGACCGTTAATAATACGGATATAGCGGAATTAGCGTATCTCGACGCGGTAGGTTTGCTTTAGTATAATAGACCGTATAGAAGGTCTTAATTAATAATTAGTACGGTTGTTTTAATAGATAATAGGTATAGGTCCCAATCGGGCGCAATATAGTTAAATTAATAGGTTTCTTAGCTATACTACGAAAAAGAATACTATCTAGCTACTGCCCTTAAAGGGTAGATCGAATACTATATAAGAAGGGTTATATTAGCAGGTAGATAGGGTAGTAGTAAATTAGTATAGTATTCGATAGAGATCTAAGAGGAGAAGGAGGAAGGCAGGTAGCAGGCTAGTTAGCCTAACGCTAAGCGCTAAGCCCTACCTAAGGCATTAGGACCCTAGCTTCACTCGAGTCCGGTTATATACTAATTACGTATAACCTCTTTAGTCCTAACAGTTAGGATATATATAGCTATTAATACTAGGTAGCGGCTAAGGTCTAGGTTTGATATCCTATAGCACCTAGCGGAAATACTCGTCTAAATAAGACCTCTTCTTCTTATCTCGTACCTACTTCCTTACGATAGCGATATGCCCTATATTAGGCTTGCCTACTTCTATCGCAAGGAGGATACGATCCGCTATACTAATACCTACTAGAATATCCTCGTCTATAATACGATTAGCGACATCTCCGGTATTAATATCTATACTATACTCTACGCGTTTCTTTAGCGCTTTAGCCTCTCTATTACGTACCCTCTTACGCTCGATAGTAGTATCCTTACGAGCCTACTAAGCGTCGTCTCGAGTAGCTTTAGGGAAGGCCGATAACGTCTATAATAGTAGAATCTAGCTCTTCTTTATAAGACTAAGTATAGTATTATTATCCTTCTTACCTTTCTTCTCGGCGTCTAATTTAGCCTACTTCTTAGTAGCCTCTCGCTTCGTAGTATACGCCTTTACGTACCGCGCGGCAACTAGTACTTATACTTCTAATTCTAATAGCATCGATAGATCTAACCCGCTATTAACGTCGGCTGTAATTAACTTATTTCGTTCCTTAGCGGTTATTCCTTCTAGAAGTAGTACTTTAGTAGTCGCCTTGTCTTCTTCCGCCTCTTTATCTTTACTATCGTTTTCCTCGTCCGATCCGCTAGTATCTGTATTACTATCTTACGTAGGATTAGTACTAACCCCCGCCTTGTTACCGCTCGCTATATTTAACTTAATAATATTAAAGAGCTAGGTTACAAACTCTAGACACTCGTCGCGCTACTATTTATACTCTAAATGCTTCTAGAAGTGCTCGTTAGTAACCTCCTTATTACTAGGCTTTAGAGGGTATCTATTCTAGCCGCTTATATACTTTAAGTAAGCGGCATATAGATAGTACTTCTCTTTAAAGATCCGCTAGCGCACCTTATAGCCTTCTTCCTTAAAATATAACTTAAACCCTAAGCTTATCTATATAGTAATATAGCGGTAGTATTTAATATAGAAGCTATTACTATAGTTTATTAACCCCTTATCCTTTAGCTTCTTTACCTCCTTTAAGAAGTATTCCTTATAGACCGCCTCCTATCGAATAATCTCTAGAAACTTAGAGAGTCGGAGTCGGAGCTAACTATAGGCTTAGTACTCGGCTTAGACTTCTTACTAGCTAGTATATTCTTACTAGTAGTATTCTTACGCTTCGTAGGAGTCGTAGAATTAGTCGTTTTAGCCTTCTTCGGCGCTATATTTAGTAGATACTATATTAATAGTAATATATAGATATAATAGCTTTATAATAGCTTAAATTTTGCGCGTTAGCTATATACGTGCTACGGTCGCGACTAATTTACCGCCTTAGCGACTAGTAGTGTATAGTCTTTCTAATCCACCGATTTGTCTAACTTAAAAAGCGGTTATCGGAAATTGATTGCATCGGTAGAAGATTACTAAGTATTAACAATCTACCGATCCACCGACGAGCAAGTAGACACACCCTAAGGGGTAGGGACTGCAGATGCGTCTGTTTTCCTTTATACTGGTAGGGCCCGCGGCCTCATTTTCTTCTTCTTCTTCTCGCTAGGTCTGACTTTTGGACTCAAATCTCGAAGCAATGCCCTTTACTAAGACATATTTCTTGTGTCCAACATCCGACTTCATACATCCACCACCAACTGGGCCGCTATGTCTTGGGTCTATAATCCGCTCGACGTCGACACCGCAATATCCTCTGAACAAAGCAAGCGTTGTATACATTCCTAATGAATTGCCACCTGTCGTGGAGACCGACTGGAAGAAGACAGTTTCCATCGAGAAAGGGCTAGGCGTGGGAGTCTATGCGCAATTCTTACAGCTGGCTACTGCTGGACTGCCCGTTGGCTCTGAGCTGGACGTTGAACGTTCCAACAAGGCGGCAGATACGTTTGCCTTCGACACAGTTACCACACTCGCGTTCGAACCGACTCAAGAATACGTAGAACGGGCGGTCAAGGCGCCAGCCGTGCAGGCATGGCTGAGAGAGCCGAGGCAGAGATTTGCACTTTTCAGTGAGCTTTTCCTCGTCACTGGCATGAAGCTCGTCAAAGGCGCCAAGATCAAATACTCGACATCACAGAGCACCGCAGTCAAAGGAAATCTCGGGATCGATGTGCCGACGCTGGGAATGACTGTTGGCCCAAAAGGTCATTGGACTCGTACCAGTGACGATGAGACGGAGTCCAATCGTGAATCGGAATTTGTTTTTGCGTTTCGAGTGAAAAGGCTCAAGATTGGCCGCAGAATAAAGCTTGAGGAGTACAGCAAAGGTGCGTTCATGAATGCTGGCGAGAAGAAGGATGATGACGAATGTGTATTGTTCGAAGAAGTGGACGGAGGCAACATTCAGACTGCTGAGACTGTTCCGGATGTGACAGAGAATGGCGATGTCTATTGCGTTCGCCCTTGATTGCTCTAGATGAATGCTGGAATGCGAACAGCTAGAGTATCAGTTAAGCATGCGCGATCGAAATTCCGTGAACAAGTTGACGCTTCAACAGCCACTCGTACACTGACTAGTATTTGTACATGCTTCGTTTGATCTCTTTGATTTTCCCGTACACATCCCCCCTTGTCGATCCGCTGTCGAAGAGCACATGAGGTGTGATGTAGTCATAGCCTGCTCCTCGCCTCTGCCTGACCATGCTTTTGAAAACTGCATCCATGGAATTGTCTCTCTTCAGCCACGGGCCCAACCTTTCTTTTTCTATGGCAATATGCTGATCCTCCTGTCGGACAAACGATAGGACCGATGCGGCCAGGCCAGCGGCAATTGGCGTGGCCACCGATGTCCCTGACATGAAATTGACGGTCTGATCGTGTCCGTTCATGCCAGCCGGCCAGTGAGAAGAGACATGCTCTCCAAGTAGACTGAAATTTACATCCGTGTTGCTTGCTGTAGGGTTGAAGCTAGACGGATTACCATTTCCATCTGTCGAGTGTATGCAAAAGACGCTGGGATATTTAGCTGGAAAAGCTCTGCCGAGGTTTGCTCCATCATTCGATGCCGCCGCGAACAACAGCGTTCGACTGTTGAGTGCATTCGAGATGGCTGTGCTCATCAATTCGTGATATTCACGGATGCCAAACGACATTGATATAACATCCACTTTCCATTGTTTCACGGCGTGGTCAATGGCCTGTAGATGTCATTAGCTTCGCACAAAAGTTTTCACTGGTATCAACATAGCTCTACCTTTGCAATGTCATCGTAAGTATTTGGATCCAGAGTCTCTCGCCGTGCGATTCTGGCAACGTAAATCTCAGCGCATGGGGCAACTTTGAGAAGGAGACCAAGAGCATGAGTGCCGTGTCCTATCTCATCTCGGACATCGCGCGGCTCTGTGCCATGCACGAAACTTCTGGCTTCCTTGATGCGTGGGCTAGGTAGCTGCTGGTCTTCGATCAGGAATGGGCTCTCTAGGTCCAGTCCGGAGTCCAAGATCGCTATCCGCACCGGTTCGACAAGATCTGAAACAGGGTCGACGTATTGATAGATTGAGGACAGCAGCATGTCCATCCATTTTTCTGAAAGGGGATTCCTAGAAGATCATCAGTACAGGATGTTACGATCCAGCAAAGAATAGCTTACTCTTGTGCAGGACCTGTTTGGTGGCTTGCATCAAAAAAGTGCAAGCTCTTCTCCGAAGGTTGAATGATATTGGGAGATTTCGCCAACGTCCGCAACACAACATCTGAATGAAGGGTCGCGTAGCTCACGGCCGCTGTGTCGGACTTCGAACGATGCGCACTTTGCCTCGCTGTCGGATTCGCAGGAGGCGCATCGACCTTGGCTGTGTGGGAGCGGACAACATCTCTACCAATAGAGCCCCAGCAAGACTCATTCTGTCGAGTGTCGAATGAACGAAGGTTGTCTAATCGGATCCCCCACGCCTTGAATATTACGGCCTCTAGTCGTTTGACGACATTTTGGTAGAAGAGCCGCTGGACGATAACGTCTTCGAAGTCAGCGTGCTTTCCGAGAGGATAGTACTCTCCAGTAAGGCATGCTTTCGTAGCAAGGTAGTAATCCACGCCCGCATCGTCTTCCAGCATTTGAAGTTTATCGAGGCACGTGTAGAAGTCATCGTTGACATTCCTAGGAGCCTGCGGATCCTTGGCCATCAGCTCCACAGGAGTGCAGTAGTGAAGTTCGCACAAGAGTATGCCTAACGCAAGTACGCTGGCGTTCGGATGAACCATGTGTTTCGAAGTGTCAGAGCTGTCCCCAATCTCTGTGCTGCGGGCTGATTTTATTGGAACGTGCTCGAGAGCCAGGAACGGCTTGGTTATGTCTGGTAGCTCTCCATCCTGTCGTGGCTCAAAGAACTGGATCATTGCGTGATTGAAGGAGAATTGCAGCCATGGTGTCTCCAAGAACGGAAGGAGTGCAGAGGCGAGTGTGACAGCCAGGACTCGCTTTCCCTTCAGTGGCAGGACTGATTCACCACGAAGCAATTCCTGTTGGCGATTGAACAACGCTGATAAAGACACTGTACGGGGCATTTGGTCGCTTCCAAAAGTCTTTGGTTGCGGGCGAAGCCGCTGAAATATCCCATCCTCGAGGGCGAAGTGTAGGCAATTCCGTTGGCCGAGCGAGTCCGTGATGCTTTGGCATATATGAGCAAATTCGGGCGGGCTGCTCATTATAGGCTCAGATGTACGCCTCCAAGTGCTGCTGTGTAAATTCCTACAATGACAGTGTTAGCGACCAGAGATCATCATCACTATGCCTCGATAACTTACTTGACCGTGATCTTAGCTTCTTGTGACGCACATGCAGGTACGGACCGCATGCCAAAGAATACTTCAAAACTTGCCTCTGCTTCAAGGTCCTTCTTGTGTTGGGGCAGCGACAGTCTCACGCTCAGTCCTGAGCATTTCTGGCAAACACATACCCAATGCCTCCTCAATGCATTGTCCAGAGACACCAAATGCCTCCTCATCAAGACGGCGAAGTCGGCATCAGGGTCATCTAGACTAGGTCCTTGAGTTGGCTCTTCGCGAGGCAGGACTCGGCGTCTCTTTTTCTCCTGTTCCAGATGTAGAAGTTCTTGAATGGCATCATCGCATTCTCGTCTGCGCTTGCCAACACGAATGATAGAGCCTGTGTCGGCATGTGGATCGAGCCCTGGGTTCTCGATCATGCGACGAAGCTTTGGATACCGCTCATATCTGGATTGTGGAAAGGTCTGCTACAATAACAGTCATTAGTGGACAGGAAACAACGTGCCAGGAGACTAAGGGACTGGCACTTGTATGCAAAGTACCTACGTGATCTGCTCCTGAATAATCCAAGTCGTCTGGGACAAGTTGTTCAAACGCTCTTAGCGTCCTTGCGACACTCTCCGGGTCGGCTTCATCGAGATCGTCGTGTTGGAGAAACGCATCTGTCCGTAGCCAAGCCTCACGCTGCCGTGATCTCAGCGAAGAAGGCTTTGCTGACTTTTGTGGTCGTTTTCGAACGAATAATGCAAGCACGGATTGCAGCAGGCTTTGTGAATCAGTTTCATCGGCCATGTTGACCCATTTGTAATGATGGGTCTGAAGCGGTTGCTTGACTGGAAGAACATTGATCGATCAGTAGAAGGGTGCCGTGAATTAGAGGAGAGATAGTCCTCAGAGCCTTACAACGAAAGATGATCTCACGTACTCTTAGCGTTAAGCCAACTGGCCCCTCGTGGATGGCATTGCGTGAGCCCATGCTTCTATGCCGGGTGATACTTTGCGGACACACTAGGGGCATAAGATAAGCTGCCGCCGAGCTCAAGACTGCCAGATTCAGCTGCGCGTGATTGGAGAAGGCTTCCAGTACTTGTAAATGCGGCACAAGAGTACACGGTCTGATTCGCTTGCAGTGGTACTGGTGGGTCGCCTTCATTGGCTTGTGAGGCTGAGCGAATCGCAACATGGAGTGCAAGACTGGGGAGGCCATGTATTGTATGCATGGAGACCTGATCTTGCCGTTGGCTTGTGGTTTTGTGATCACGGGATGATGACTAACAGAGATCTTGAACTCGGAAACACCAGCGGTCAGGATATAGCCGCCTACAGTGACTGCCCACGAGATTCTCCGTCAGCGGGTACATGTAGCATGTTGTTGTTACGTTGATCTCGGACCTGCATTGCTCGTCTTCAACTAAAGTCTACCCAATATCAAAGCTAGGTGGAAGCAAGTGGACTCATTCCCATGCAAATTCGAAAATATGCAAAAGGCCACTGTCAATCGAAAGCAATCTGGGTATCGTCACCGACCAATCGTCCATGCCGCTATGCTATTAATGCCACCCAAAGCAAGAAATCTTCACGCACAGAATTCCAATCTCGAAAACATATCGAACCGAGCGAAAGCCACCGCGGGGAACATAGATCAAACCCGTACGCAACGCGACGCGTGAATCGAAAAGCAGAAAGCCGAAACCGTGCGTAAAGAGAACGCCGATGCAGTTGAATATGAGTGCAGAAAGCGCCACCGGTCAATTCGGGCGCACAGCATGCATGAAACAGTGATTCTGGGGTCGTATGTGGTTGATGCCAAGCAACAACCCGTCAATGTGAAATAAAACGCCAACGCCGTTTCTCAAGGGGTATCGATGCTGGTAGCCCTACTGGAGTAAAGCCTCGATCTGTCCAAGGATTTACAAGAATTTGTGAAGGTGGTGTACGTGTGCGACGAGACCAGCTCAGTGGGTTCGCGGTCATTGGTAAGCGCCGTAGTTCTGGGGCATGCTGCCAGGAGTCGACCATCCTTGCATACCTGGCTGTGGCCCAGCTCCCGACTGTGGTCCCATGTTGTACTGCGGATTCGGCTGGTACATGCTCCTGTTCATGCCTGAGTATGCCGGATTGCTCATTTGGTTCATTTGATTCATCTGATATTGTTGCGGCATCTGAGGAGGTGGCATCGGAGAATTATGCTGTTGCTGTTGTTGACCGTACCCAGATACATGTGATTGTGAGAGTGGTGAAGGCTGAGGTTGAGGAGGTGGCCACATCTGGCTGGGGTTATATCCGCCATAAGAAGGCGTTTGTCGATGACCGCCCATGCCCATTGGAGACCCTTGCATGGCATTCGTTTGACGTTGCATTGCCGCCTGAACAGGAGATGCCATCGGGTTCTGCTGGTTCTGATAGTTGGGATAATTTTGCTGTAGCATCTGCGAGCCAGAGTGTGAAATCGATTCCTGCTGACGATGCTGACCAATACCTGCAACGGCCTGTGGACTCTGCATGGTTTGAGGGGCGACTGTGCTACTCGTCGCCTGCTCGGTTGAACTCTCTGTGGTGGGCTGCTCATGTGGTCTTTTCCAATAATTGTCCAAATAGCCAAAACGATGATCTCTCTGTGCTGCCAGCTGCTTGTTATACTCAGCAGCGCCGGCCGCTTGACTCATGATTTCTGCCGTACCACTGGACTGTGTACGGTCGATGTATGGTGGTCCTGTAAGTTCCTGTCTCGGTCTGATGACATTCGCTCCTGCGACGCTGGCTCGGAGGTCCTCACTAGGGAGATGGATCATGGGAAGCGGCGCCAGTGAGACGGGGCCCATGCCTGGCGGGCCTCCGTCAATACCTGGCGCATTGCTGTAGATGATCTCTCCCTGCGGCAGCGAAGTAAGAGCATGAGTGTGTGCGGCGGCCTCAGCAGCAGCCTGTTCCCTGGCCTTGGCTGCTCCTGGTCGCTTCTCTCCAGCTGGGTCTTCCTCGGTGAAGCCTTGCTTCCTGGCCTTGGCTTCCCAGTAGTCATCTCTAACGCGTCTACCACCCTCGATCAAACGAGCTCCAAATTGTCGAAACATGGATCTTGCCGTGACGATGGCAATTTGTCGCGATCGATAAGAATAAGGGAGTATTTCTTGGTGAATTAGGTTGTCTTTCTCCTGTTGATTCGCAATGATCTTGAACAACGAACGATTCTTGTTGAATAGAAGATATGAATCTCTGTATCCTAGCACGCGTGCGCACTCGGTCGCAAGCATGAAGAGCTTCTCGCCCCGGTTGGGGACCTGGAATGTCCGGCATTTGTATCTACGGCCGTCGAGAGGGTATCCGTCCTTGGAGACCTTGGTCTCTCCGTCGACATCAATTTCACGAGGTATGTATTCGTCTCCTTCCGGTCCGAGTTGGTCAGTCGTGTGGTCGCGTACAGTTGGTAAGGCCTTCACAACCGGTGGCTTCGCTGCTGAGCCGGGCGTAGAGCGCGCAGGCGACGCTTGGGTAGGCGAGCCTTGCGGTAAGGCGGATGTCTTGATGTGTGGGGTGTGCACAGGCATGGCTGCTGTGGCAAGCGACATGTTTGAGGAAGGCGCGGGACTTTCACCTGCCTTCAGTTTTCGAACTTTGTTGGTCTTGGCGTCATCTGATTGGACATTGTCAGTGTTCCTGCGTGCGCGTTTCCTCCTCTGAAGCGTAGAGCGGATGCCGCGGTCTGGCAGTGTCGCTGCTCGACGACAGATTGATGTTTGTTTTGGGTATGAACGTACCACCTTCGCCCTCTTGACCAGTTGCGCCGTAGCTATCGGGCGAACGGCTTCGCTTGATGCCACGAGGGCTCGACGTGGACAGCAGGTTGGGAGCAATCGTGCTTTCTGCAAGAGGAGCACATGGATCAGCACATGCGACAATGTTAAAGAGTCCAGGCGGACGCGGGTCTGCGCCGTCGTCGCTGTAAACAAGCCGCCGCACGCCAGTCCGATGAGGCCAGTGCTTACCGGGCGCATTCAAAGCTGCTGGATTGATCGTGCGCGAGTCTTCCATGTCAAGACCGTGGTGTAATGTAGGTAACGCTGAGATGCTCCGATGCGACACGGCCAGCATCACATCCCGCGACCTGGCATGAGTGCGCGGAGAGTCGGAAAGAGGCGTCGCACAAGGTCGTGGTCTTAATCACTGCCGTCTCAAACGACGCGACGGTGGCGGTGAGGCCCTGGAGATACTCGGGGTTGCGCGCTGCTGGAGCATGGACAGGAGCAGCGACGGCGGTTCTCGCGAGCGCAATGTCGAAGAGTGGAGATACCAGAGCAGAGCTCGCGAGTCGCGACTAGGGCCGAAGCGCTGCGCAGCTGCACGATCCGAAAGTTTGAAGTTTCGCAGATAAGCTCGCGGTTGATGCTGGAGAAACCCTGACGGCTGGGGCGAGGGAGGGGTGGAGACGGTATTGCTGGACGACACTGAAGAGCTTCACTCATGCAAGGTCGTCGAATCTCGAAAGTGAGGGTCGATGCAGGTGGCACCGAGCGCTGCAACACCTCTCGCACAGAGCGTCTTAGCGGGCGAATGACGCACAAGCCGCTCACTGCGCTGGGCTGGGCTGAGCTGCGCTTCTTGTCAGCATCTCATCCTTCACCCCGCCGTCGCCGGTGACAGTAATATCCCGGAGTCATTGGGAGCATTCGTAATGCCGCTGCGAATTGCAACAAAACACTCGGAGCAGCCCGCGTTGCCTTCTTTGCGGCCCTATACGGCTCGCTCACTCCAGGCCATCGAGCAGTATGATGCATTTGGTTAATGCGACGCTCCCTCCCTGTGCCTGGGGTTACACGTGCCGCCCAGAACGCTGGCGGAGGACGCAAGGGGTTTTGCGCTGGGCAGCGTTGTCCGAGAAGAGAGGCCCAAAAACCAGGCCGGCAATGAAGGATAGATTGTGTGACTGAGCCCGGTGTGCTGGCGCTGCTCGCGACGGCGACGATGGATTTGATAGGAGACAAATTGTACTCACTGGTGAAAGTTGCGCCAAGGTCCTGTAACTAAAGTAGCTTGCGCAGGCGGTCTGTCTCGAAGAGAGTAGTTGCACCCCAATTCTTATACTGGATGTTGTTGATTCGCCGTCGGGAGGACCGTTGGCCAGGGCGGCGGTAGCGACAGTGCCGTGTCGCTGCAGACGAGCGTCGCTGTGAAAGCCGAAGCTGTGGTGGTCGGCTGTAAGGTGTTGGCGTTGGATGGAATCGGCCTCTCGACTTGAGACGGGCCTGAACGTCCAACGGTTGCAAACCAACCCGCCGTTCAAATCGTTCAACGGGAGATCGCCTGAGGCTGAGGGCCAAAAGGCACTACGTCGGCGTTCGCGTTGCTGGAAAGGTGAAAAGAACACTCGCGACAGGCCTGCAGCGAGCAAGGCTTCCTTTCTTTGGGCAAGCAGAGCGGAAAGTAATGCACGCCTGCAGCAATACAATTTGCGCAGCCTATCGAAGACGCCCGGCGGGGAGGTGCTGGTGGCACTATAAGCCACACGTTCAGAGGTCAGTCTGCTCATCTGTGATCGAACCGTCCCGCTCGGACGCCTACGCAGTATTTCTCACATACAATCTCACTAAGGTGGGCGATCGAGCCGCTTCAGGGTTTGCTGCGGCGCCATCGCGTACGCACCCAGTTCCTACGCTCGCGACAAGTCGACCCGAAACATGAGGACTTGGCTCTCAGCGATAATGCATCTGGTCTTTCCACCGGGCATACAACGTCGCAGCTAGAGCTTCGCCACCTATGGACACTATCGAAAAGCATCATGCAAGGATGCACATGGCCAATGATCACGACGACGCACAAATGAGGGGCGAGGCGACGTCCAGCCTTGGAGCTCTTACCTGAGCACTGTGAATCTCATCCCGCGCCTCTGTTTCTGGCGAATCTGGTCCTTCGGAGTTGTCGCCAACCTGATTATTACAGGAGAATGCCGACCGAAACGAGTCATTGCGCAGCTACCTTGAGCATGATTTGCTTGCTGAAAGTGACGTTCTGTCGGACAGCTGCATGCTGAAAATGCAGATAGCCGCTGTTCTGCGTGGAGGATCGCCGGTACATGACGATATCCCACGCCTTGAGAGCTGCAGCCAGCTGCAAGCCAGAAACTCTTGCTTCCTTCCTCGGCATGAAGCTACTCTCTGCTGCTGTCCGCCGTTGCACGCGCCGCTCCGCAATGTACTTGCCACATGTATCATTTGTCAAAGTAGGCCATGGAGCGGTGGAGCGCACGATCGAGGGCATGTGCTCCGGCGTTGATCTGGAGAGTCTGGTAACTCGAATCCTTCGCCTCTTCCCTGACATGTCGCATACGTGAACCAGGATATGATATAAAAATCCCGACACGTTCGGCTCAATCATTGCAATCATTGTCTCGGTCAAGAGAGCACATGGCCTGGGGCATATCGATGTTTCGGGTAGGTACTCTGATGCAGCTGTCCGCCATGCAGGCAGAGAAAGATGCTGTGTCGACCATTCACCATGGCTCTATGCAGTGGAGCCATGCTTGATAATCATAGGTGCAGCTGCATAATGCCTTGCGAGCTGTGTCTGACGGACCGTCGCGCAGCAACATTGCCGATGGAAAGCGTCCTACTATATGTACGCATAGATGGCTGACCAGATTCTATGAGCATAGATCGCATGAAACGGGAAATCGAGACGTAGGCCGATGCTTGATCACACGACTTTGACGGTCCTTCGGCTTCCATACCGAGACCGACAGATACACCATGAACGGCTGCCTCACCAACCGCGAGGCTTGCGCAAGCCCTGTCGCGGCTTCCCGTTGTCTCAGATGAGTTTACGAGGCTGAGAAGCCAACGCCTTCAGACCGTCCACGCAATAATCTCTTCGAAATGGCAAAAGCATTTTCTGGAGAATTATTGGCCCAATCAGCCCAGCAGATCGATCCATACGCACGCGTTCTTTGGCTCGACTCCACTTCTGGGCTTTCGGCTTGCATATTCGCCTTTCTCTGGTAGAAGCTGACCTGACCTGACCTTGGAAGCGGACGAGGGTCACATGAAAGCGCGCAGGATATAGTGCTGCATCATGACTTTGGTAGCCTGCAAATCATGCCATGCGTATGAAGGCCTTCACCGCTGCGTTGCAGCAAATCAGAACCGGTCGCGCCAAAGCGACTGCATCCCAGCCTCTCATGTGTTGATTCCGTGGTTCCGATTTCGTCCGTACTCAGTATACTCGCGTCTGGGCCAGACAGACTTGCGTGGACGAGTACGTCGTGAGCGCGGAGGCGGCTCCTGTGCAACTTCCGAGCGCGCCGAGATTGCCGAGTATAGCAGCGCGACGCACTGTCAGCATTGAGGGTAGACGAGACCAGCCCTGGCTGACGCATACTGAGTGGGAGAACATGCTTCACGCTGCAATGCTTCTTGGGCTCTAGGGCTGCACGGCGCATTTTCGAGTCGGGTTCTGACCGTTTGTGGCCATTGTCTCCTTCACTTTTTAGCGCAACTTCGGCGCTACTGCTCAATCTTGCGCAACGTCGTTAAGTCCAAACCAAAGCATGTCCGACCATACCATTTCCCCCTCTGAGAGTAGCATTTGTTAGCTCCCATTCCACGTAGCTGACCATCTTCCCACTTGCTTGTCACGCGCCAGAATCAAGATATGACTCGTTTTCAGTTGCCCTGGACCAATCGATGCGTCTCGCTATGCCGGAAAGTCGTGGGGTCGAATGCACCCAGCTGCAGAGTCACGAATTCTAATTTGGTCACTGGCACCACGATGGCAATGGCAATGGCGATGGCCTCGAGACTGTCTACAACGAGCGTTTCGATCGTGCAGCCGTATTTAGAGAAAATCTTGACCTCAAACTCTCGGCTCCATTTGCAGGTTGACGTCCGGCCGAGTGGCTTGGTAATGCTTGATCCAGCTGAGCAGGCTCCTTGTCTTTGTAGACAATCCAGGATCAGGTGTAAGCGAGGGCTCCATGGTCCGAGGAGGATAGACGTCCTAGACAGGTGAGTGGCAGCAAGGTCAAGTGTTCTGCCCGGACGTCTGCGGCAAAGCCATGGCGTTCAGAGCATCCTCCTGGCCGAGTACCCACAGCAGAAAGGTATTTTTATGATTTTTTCTCAGATGAACAACGGAATGGTCATTGTTAAGATACTTGTTCCTGGCAGCATGCTGTGAAATGAGGAGGCATGAGGGAGACAGATCAATGGCTTATATATGTGCAGCGAGAAATTTAAGTTCAATGAAAGGGGAAACGGTGTGTGACGTGTCAATCGTGTCAATCGCTGCGACGTCCCATTCAGCTCGTCAATCCCCGAAGAGGGCGCTCTGAATCCAATAGCTAGCTGCTGCGCCTTGTGATTGTGGCAGAAGAATCATATTGTTCGTCGAATGACTGGTCAACGCCTCAGGCTCAGTTTCCGGTTCGTGGTGCTCTTCCTGGTGAGAGCCTGAGAGGCCATATGATGTCTGTTCACTGCCAGCAGTTGCTAAGCTCGGAGCACAATCGCAGAGCACATCTGTGGCCGTTCACTCAATTCTAGGCCGTATGATGTGTGTGTGTGCATGCGAGATCGAGGTCTGTGTTGCAGGTGGTGTTTGCTGTGGTATGGGGGGAGCAGTGCAGTAGAGGGAGGGAGAAGGTTTGAGAGTTTGGCTCTGCGTCAGCGGAACAATTTCCGCGCCGCGCCCAAAATTTCTCGAGCCCACCACCAAGCACGAACTTCAGTGCAAGCTATTGCGGCTCGATGCAATCATGGCTCTACAAGAGAGGCTGGACAAGATTCGCTCGTCGCCTAAGCTTCAGAATCAACAGCAAGCGTCTGTGGTTCTGAAAGCTGTCGACGAGACCCTCCAAGCACAGAAAACCGATCCGACGCCGACCGCATATTTCGCCGCGCTGCTGTCGCTGCTAGGACAGTACATTTCCAGCGAGAAGGGAATCGTAAAGAAGGAATTCGCAACGTCTGTAGTCTACTTGCTAGACCTCGTTACCAGCCATGTCCCAGCGCCACTCCTGCGATCGAAGTTCCCGCAAATTCTGAACAGTCTTGCGCCGGCACTGGCGCACCAAGACGCAGATGCGCCGCTGTTAAGAGCAAGTGTCGGTTGTCTGGAGTCGTTGCTGATCGCGCAAGACACTCAAGCATGGGCTTTGCCTCAATCTCCTACCAGCCCGAGAGGCGCTGTGGGTGGCCTGCTGGCCTTGACTGTGGATCATCGGCCGAAAGTTCGAAAGAGGGCGCAAGATGCACTGAGCAATGTGTTGAAGCAGCCTCCGCCGAGTCCATCGCTGGATCATCCAGCTGCGGACATGTGTGCTGAGACTGCTTTGCGACATCTACAAAACGCAGCGGAACAAGCGAGCGGCAAGAAGAAAAAGCAGCGACACAGAGACGAGAGCCAGCATGATCCGAGTCTTATGCACGCTTTACAGTTGGTTAAAACTGTAGCGTCTGCCCAGAATGGCTGGCCGAGCAGAAAGATTGATGCATTATGTGAGCTGTTGCTCAACATCTCGAAGGGCAGCAACGAGTTTCTGACCATGGCTGCTTTTGACATTTTTGAGATCATCTTCGCTGGACTGGCTGACGAAGTTTCTTCGTCGAAATTGCCAAGGTTACTGGAAATCATCACTGAACTACAACCTTCTCAAAACGACACCCAGCTCCTGCCTCCCTGGATTGCTGTACTAAGTAGAGGCTATGATGTTTCCTCGCAAATTGAGCCGGAGGAGACGTTCCAGAAGCTGCCAGATCTTTTCGACAAGATTTCTGCCTTCCTCGCTTCCTCCTCGCACAACATCCGAGTATCGTCTTCTGAATGTCTAATTTCGCTCCTTCATACTTGCATACCAGATTCTGTGCTTCTGGATGGCTCGGTCATGGATGATCGTGTCCTGGAGAAGATGCCATCGTGCGCGGCGCCATGGGCAGGCAGGAGCAGAGGTATTGATGGAGAGGACGACGATTCTGTGTGAGAGGTTGATCGCGGCTCCGGCAACGTCGTCACGCGTCTGCCGAGGCCGATGATTCCCGGGTCGTCGTCGACCTCGCAATGATTCGTTCGCTGGCAAGAAGGAAGCAGATGCTGTTCTCGGGGCAGCGATTAAGGCAGCAGGACCTAAGAATGTCCTAGCAGTTCTGCCACTCAATCTTGGTGGAAGATCTTCAGGGCCAGGCCGTGCCTGGCTGCTTCCCATCATGCGTGACTCTATCAGCAACACCGAGCTAGGACACTTTCGCTCAGAGCTTGTGCCTCTCAGCGAGACCATGTTCCAACGCGTGCTCAATCACGGCAACGCTGAGAAAACTATGGAAGTCAAGATCTTTGAGACAGTGGTCGGTCAGATCTGGTCTTGTCTTCCTGGATATTGCCAGCTACCACTCGATTTGAAAGATACTTTCGACCAGACTTTCGCCGAACTCCTCAGCAATCTCCTCTACCAGCAGCCACAGCTTAGGACCGACATATGCAAAGCCTTGCAGAACTTAGTCGACACCAACAAGGTAATTGCGGAGCTCGAAGAGGAGCACGAGGACCTGGTACAGCAAGGACGAGTTACAAAAGCTGATGCTCAGCAAAACCTGAATTATCTTGGTGAGCTCGCCGGCCCACTTCTCGCCATCCTATTCAACGTGTATAGCCAGACGCTGCCTCAGAATCGCGGCAATCTCTTGCAATGCATCAATGCCTATCTCAGCATCACTCCAGAGCAGGAACTTCTCGAGACATTCCAGCGTGTCGCAGCTCTGCTTGAGAGCTCCTTGGCAGAGTCTGGTTCTCAGACACAGGCCGATAAGCAGAAGACAGCAGGCAAAGATGGCAAGGATAAGATGCCGCCGACTTCACATACGCTGATGGACCTGGTCATCACAATGTCTACTTATCTCCCGCGAGAGAGCTTTGCTGGTCTTTTCAATATGGCGGCCACTGTGGTAAACAAGCAAGACGATCCCCAATTACAAAAGAAAGCATATAAGCTTATCCCACGACTCTCTGAATCAGAAAGTGGCCGCTTGGCTCTTGCTGAGCGTAGTGCAGATCTTCAGCAGTTGCTCATCGATGCAGCACCGAAGACATCGGCACCGGCACGGAGAGACCGATTGGCATCGATTGCAGAGATCATCCCTGGCATGCCGAAGTCTGACTTATCCTTTATCTTCTCCATTCTCTCCGAAGTCGTCATCAGCTGCAAGGAAGTGAACGAGAAGGCTCGCACCGCAGCGTTTGATCTCCTGGTGCTCATGGCAGAAAAAATGGCTGAAGGTGGTACAATCATCCAGTCAAAGGTTCCGCACATGCCGACAGATGCTCCTTCAGCAGCAGCGAGTCTAGAAGAATTCTTCACAATGGTCTCGGCAGGCCTTGCTGCGACATCGCCGCACATGATCTCAGCAGCCATTACCGCTTTGACGAGACTTTTGTACGAGTTCCACGGGCGCTTGTCTGAGCAGACAGTCTCGCAGCTTGTTCAGACGATGGATACCTTCCTTGAATCCAAGAACCGTGAAATCGTGCGTTCCGCGCTTGGTTTTGTGAAGGTCTGCATCATTTCTCTACCGAACTCACTGGTACTCCCGAGGCTGGAAACACTCGTTCCAAATCTGATTACATGGAGCCACGAACATAAGCAGCACTTCAAAGCAAAGGTCAAGCATATCTTTGAACGGATGATTAGGCGATTCGGTGTCGAAGTCGTGCAACGATACACGCCCGAGGCGGACCAGAAGCTGATCACGAACATTCGCAAGACACGAGAGAGGCGCAAGAAGAAGCGTGACGCGGAAGACGGCGAAGATGAAGCACCTGCCCAACCACGCCAGGGCAAGTTCGAAAGCGAATACGACCAAGCTGTCTATGGCTCAGCATCAGAGACAGAGTCCGATATCTCAGACGATGAAGTGCTTGGTCGCTCAGTTGCAAAGGGTCAAAAGGCGAAACAAAGCGGACAGCAGTATATCGTGGAAGATGACGAGGAGCCTCTTGACTTGCTTGATCGCAAGGCCCTTGCCCACGTGTCATCTACGAAACCTTCAAAGAGGCGCGAAATGCCCAATGGCTCGACCAAGAAGAAAGCCAAGACTGATCTTGATGGAAAGTTGGTGTTTGACGAGGGTTCAGATATTGAAGTGCTCGACTTTGATGAGTCGGGAATGATCGATGGCCAGGAGCCAGGCGATGGAACACTCGAGGGCGGCATCAATGCTTACGTCGAGGCCATCAAGAGCAAAAATGCACCACAGCGAGGTCAGCGTGGCAAGTTGAAATTCAAGAACGTGCGTGGCGATGATGAAATGGATATCGATGAGGACGATGCCATTGCTGCGAAGAAGAAGCTTGATGCGAGGAGGCCTAGCAAGCACACAACAAAAAGGAGAGGACTCGGTGGGGAAAAGACGAAGAGCGGTTTTGCTGGGGACGGTAAGATTCACAAATCGCCCGGTCGAGCTTTCAAGCACGGCCTACAGAGTCGGCGAGGAAGGGGAAAGAGATAGATTGCGAGAAAAGTCAGTGTTGGACGTGGTCGTGATTTCACAGCTAGCTTAAGCTCCGCGGATCGCATTCGCATGTTCATGATGCAAAATGATACCCATTGCTCTGGTCCAAGTCATTTCCACATCTCTAGCTTTTTTGATGTCCAAACACTTAGTCATCATCCTCCTCGCCCTCATCGCCAACGACATTGAAGAACTTCAAGCTGTACTCGCCCTTGGAGGTGCTGACAACACGGAGCCAGTCACGGAGCTGCTGCTTCTTGAGGAACTTCTTGGTCAAGTACTTGAGGTAGCGACCAGAGAACTCCTGGTGGGCAACGACCTCGATGCGTCCATCGCCGAGGTTGGAGACGGTGATGGTGTCGCCAAGGTTGCCGGTGCGCCCGTCGACCTTGATGCGCTGCTGAAGGAAGGTCGCGAATGCGGATGGGTCGAAGATGCGGTCTTGGGTGGGCTGAGTAGCGTTGATGATGAACTAGAAGACGTACAGTCAGTGGATAGCCTAACGAGAGTAGGCATGTGTTTGGAAATACCTTGTTGGTCACCTTCTGGCCCTTCTTCGCGCCACCGGCGGTTGCTCTCTTCTGTTCAAACACTTTTCTCAGCCTACTGCACTATGCCGAACTGCCATTCAAGGCGTCGGCGGGCAGCAAAGCGGTATACGTACGGTTGCAGGCATTTTCGCTGTTGTCGGTTGATGCGACGCAAAGAAATGGGTATCCTACGTCTGGTGCGACTTGTGGTGTGGTCTGGTCGTGAAGTCGGTCGTGGCAGAGCAGAATTTCGAATGTCGCTGCCGAAAATGGTCGCCAAGATTTTGCGGGTGCTTACATAATGCCGCCTTTGCATGGCGAAGCAATCGGGAGTCACATCGACTCTCTCCGTGAAAATATCATGCTCGTCTCGGACAGAAGATCTGCTCGCAATGGAGTATCTCATTCGCTTCATTCAGACGCACGAGACCTTCAGAAGGGCTGAAATCAATGCACTTGCCGAGTTGAACGGCCTCACCATCACATGGCTCATTTACTCTGACAACGTAGGTAGTATGCAGTAAGGTCAGGCGAAGGGCAAAAAGACATCGCGCCGTTCGTAAGTATACCTCAGTCGGCTTTCATACATTCATCCAGGAGGGTTTATACTACGTACGTCTCTCCCTTGACTTGCCCTTCGCCTGCCTCTCCTGTCTTCCTGCCAAGCTAACAGGTCTCAGTCTCCTTTCGCCATTGTTCGCTTTGCCGGACAAGTAGATTGTATCGAGGCCTGCAAAGCTTTGATCTCTCGCTCGGTTCTGACATTCGGCATACATGAGCTTTGGGGAGCGGGCAAGACCTACGATGAGTTGCATGCAGATATTCGCCATCGCACCGAGCACCTTTGGGAGGAATATCGAACGCCTTCATTCCGTTTCGAGGTCGATTGCTGTCATGGAAGCCGTTCGTCCAGCGAACAGCGAACGATCATGGAGTCTTTCCACTACATGGGTATGGAAGGGCCAATCGTGATGACCGATCCTGATCATCATTTCACCATCTTCGAGGACTATGATCTTCATACGAAAGTGCCCAGGCAACTTTACTTTGGCAGACTCATGGCTGAAAGTGGTCGTAAAGCAATCGCCAAATATAATCTGAAGAAACGCAAGTACATCCACACCACATCGATGGATGCGGAGCTGTCTCTCATCACTGCCAATCTGGCATTGGCTGCGCCTGGACGACTCGCCTACGATCCTTTCATGGGAACTGGTTCGTTTCCTTTGGCCTGTGCCCATTTTGGTTCAACAGTCTTTGGCTCAGATATGGATGGCCGCAGCATCCGAGGCAAAAAGGATCGCAGTGTCATGGCAAATTTTGTGCAGTATGGCACGACCGGCTTTTATCTGGATGGCTTTGCTGCGGATCTAACAAATACACCCTTACGCGCCTATCGATACCTGGATTCAATCGTATGTGATCCGCCTTACGGTGTCAGAGAAGGTCTTAGAGTACTTGGGAGCAACAAAGCGTCACTCCAAGCAGAGGTGTTGCTAAAGGACGGCACTCTCGCGCATCTAAAGAGTAACTACATTCCACCGAAGAAACCGTACAGCTTCCTCCGCATGATTGATGACGTTCTCGACTTCAGTACGACTACTTTGGTTGACAATGGCCGACTATGTATGTGGATGCCAGTTGCCGGAGCCGTCGAGGATGAGATCGACCCAGATGCAGCTGCAATATCTGATGAGAGACCCACCGAGAAAGAATATGCAGTTCCCGAGCATCCGTGTCTCGAATTGGTGAGCCACTGCAGGCAAGACTTCAACAAATGTGAGATCAAGCCCTGCTCTTGGGCCTTGTCTGATGCTAATTCGTTCAGGGTCGAGAAGGCTGTTGTCGTACCGAAGACGAAAGGATAGTGAGGTTGATGCAGTGTCGCTTTCTGCATATCGACTACGTCGTGTACAGCTGCAAGAAGACCCTGGGAACAACGCGGGAACAGCGGATGACTTGAACGATTTTCGCAAAAAGGTGAAGACTCCTTATGATTGTAGATTATCACTCGTCCGCTAATAATCTTCATTAGTACTTTCAAGGCTTCAAAGACTGCTGATGAGAATCTTCTGATTAGCCACTGCACCAATCCCCCGGAAAACAACGCAATGATCGTGCGACAATTATCTCGCAATACACCGCTTCAATCTGGAGAGGATGCTCGGATTCGTTCACATCACGAGTCCTCATCGCGTGTACGCCGGATGCCGAGATCGCCACTGACACAATATTTTCAAGCGTCATAGAACCTAGGATGCAGACCTTGACAGCGAAGAACCACGACGTCCCATCCCGCAATATCGGAAAACCCTTGCATCGATAAAAGAGCCCCCTCTTATAGGAAGCTGGCAGTTCATGAGACTCGAACCACATGATATTTCTCAATGCGACCAAGTACTCCCCAAGAGATCAACACACCTGCATCCACGACTCTCGCTTGCTGCCACACCATTGTTTCAACATATGACCTACTTTTCCGTGCTACCCCGGTTCATACCAGATCCCTGGTATTCCTCTATCGAATCACTTGATCACGTTCTCGGGATCACCTTTTTCCTTGGAGACAAAGATTTTTTTTCCAACTCGCAATCCTTGGCTGATTGCACATCAAGCTCGAAGGCCATGTGCAGCTGTCTGTGAAATGTATATGCCTAGTCCGCCTTATTACCAATGATGCCTACGACAAGAAAAAATCTAGCTAGTAGCAACTGGATTCTTATGCCGTTTCTGGTAAGAATACGCCGATGAAAGCCATGACCACCACAAAGGCCCTGGTGGATGCCAAGTTATGTATGCATTATTCCAACCCTGTTCCGTTGAGGTCGTTGCCTTATAGGAAGTGATACCACCGCTTCGTCACACGAGACTTTCCGCGTTTCGACGACTGCTGACGTCGCGAGATACTGGAGCGCGCGCTTGTCAAAGAGTCTCACGGCGGAGACCTTCGAAGGGTCGTACATCAACACGTATGGACGGTGGGAGATCCCCTTTGCCATTGTCGCCATCATCGCGCAAAGCGAAACCTCGCGTGCCTCAAGAATGTCTCTGGATGTAGCCACAGGGTGAGTCGACACCACATGGGAGTGGACCGCAAGGACTGAATAGCTGGTCATGACAGCGAGGTCTGGAACATCGATGATCTGTTCAGCTATCGACCGCGGCCTCGTTGGCAAAAACACCCAGAACGAAAGAAGTGAGCCAAGTACACAGATGATGAGATCTTTGTCCGAAGCGAAAGAATTACAGGTTGTCCCACTATGTACTCGTCGATTACATACTCGTTACAATTCCAAGCTGTCGCCTTTAACCCAGCAAGGCTATTACCAATTACCATATTACCGATCTTACGCGTATAGACGTTGCTCATGTCTCAGCAAGTAATCTCCGATTGGTGCTCAGTGAAGCTGTCCGTGGGTATCTCGGTCCCCAAAGCCAATACAATGCCAATTTGATGTCCCAGTGGTTGCCCAAACTTTTTTTACAAAATCCACCCAAGAACGCCAGAAATCCAGTAGTTGCGCGTCATGAAAGCTGTGCCAAAGTAAAGTCGTCAAAGCATTGCAAAAGTAATCAAGGCAGGTAGTCCCAAGCCGATCCAGACGAGACCTTTCGTTCTTCTTGACGGCGGAGTCTTCGTTGCTTCTCTCCTTCAAGCAGATATCCGAGTACAAATCCATGTTGCATGGCGGTATTCATGCTTTCAAGCTCTGAGTGACGGCGATCAGGTCGCCTGTGCTGACGCTCAAGCCTTCGAAGGCGTTCCTAAGAGCTCGAGTGCTTTCGCGAGTGGCCTCCATGGCTGCTGCGCTCCGAGCGACCAGATGAAGTCCGGCCATGTCTCGGTCTCTCATAGTATCCAGAAGTTGGCGGAGGTACGACTGTTCCCATCTCAGCCACGGTCGTCAAGATGTCCCTGCTAGATGCGGATCGCTTGTAGCTAGGCCGAGACCGCTCAAAGATGGGCGTAGTAGGCGGAGTCAAGTAACCACGTTCATATGCTTGGTTGTAAAGTCTCCGGGACGTGTCTTTCGCCGACTCATTGATGGCAATGGGCGGCGCGTCCTTAACGTATGCTTTGGGCCTGTCTGGAACGTTGCTCCGACGGTGCCTAGGCGGCGGAGACTCGTCGAAGAAGCGGACGCTCTTGTTTGGTGATGGGAGAGGCGAGCGGCCTCTGTGCGAAGACTTGGACCGGGGGTGGGTCGAACGGGAGCGAGAAGATCGAGAGCTCTCGCCAATGCTCAGCTCGCTGATATCTGGCAGCTGCTCGGAGCGGTACCTCCTGTGACGTGGACGATGTCTCTCTGGAGACTGTGGCAGGGTGGTTGGAGCTCCGGCAATCACGTTGGGATAGATCATTGAACACCTCATCATGTCGCCGGTGTTGGTGCTAGACTTCTGCTGTGCAGGTCTAGAAAGTCGGTGCCTGTGTGGGTTGGTCGGGCACGAGTAAGTGGTGGAGGGAGCGCAGTCATTTATATTGGTGTCTAGGGTCTTTCTAACTACAGCCATCAGTGGCGGGATGACGGATCTGAGGCAGGGTGTATCGATGGTGTGCGTGGGCGTTGGGGCAACTTTCGTTGGCCGCGATTAGGGAACAGACGTTGGTGGCGCGATGATGACAGATGTTTCCACACTTGTTCGAGAATGCGCCTAGGATATCCTGCGGGAGGGTGCTAGGTTGATCCAAGAAGTTGTTTCTGTTTCAAGCCCCCGAATCAAGAGTCAGGCTTGCTTATGGGCAGGGAAAAAGCTTAATCCGCGATTGACTTCCGTACTACGCAGCAAAAGTTGGCTCTCACGGAAAGAGCGAAGAGCGGTCCTTCATGACCTACCATGCAAGGAAAGTCAAGCGGCGGCCATTGCGTGGAAGGAGCGCTTTGCGTGGAAGTGGCTTGAGCACCTGTCACAAGTGTCGTGGCGCCTTATGGCCGTGCTCTTACGCCCCAGGCAATATGGCATTCGCAGATTCAGTTCGTGACGTTTCGTGTGTATCTTATGCGTTCATTCGTGTTCGACGCGTGGTCCGCACTCCGCATACGGAAGCTCTTTCCCACTCAGCCTCCGCTTCCTCTACTGTCCGTACTCGATGCTTCGTAGCCAAGCCTGCCCTTTTGCTGCTCCCCAGTTGCCGAACGCCTCGCTCTAGCAGTGTAGCATTACGCAAAGCATTCCATTGTCATGTCCACCTCTCCTTTTCTCTCCTCGATTCATTTGTGAAAGATGTTACTCTTCCATCGTCTTCACAACTTCCCATCCACCCTTGAGCTTTTCCTTCCACAAGCTGACCCTGTTATCTCCACAAGACACGGCCAGCACATTGCCTGCCATGCTCCAGCTAGCACGCCATACCACAACATCCAGGTTCAGCTCTTCACTCTTCCAAGCGCTAGCATCCGCAATGTCGGCGCCGGCGGGCAAAGTCCATATGCGCACCGTGTGATCCTGTGACGCGCTCGCGATGTATGTTTTCGAAAGCGGCGTGGGCGACCAAGCGACATCTCTGACCCAGTCCGCGTGCCCTGTCAGAGTCGTGATGTTATCGTAAATCTGAGTGTTCGGGTTGTACTGCCAGATCTTGACTAGGTTGTCTGAACCGCCCGTGACGAATCTGCGCTGAGGTCCTGCCGTTTGTGGCCCAGTTTGTGCGCTGGTCAATTGACCTGGCAGGATGGCAGGACTCCACGAGACCGAGTTGACGCCCAGACCGTGAGCCTGAAAGATGGCGTGACTGAAGTTATTGTTCTCAAAGGTTAGGACGCTGACGTTTCCATCGCTGCTCGCAGCTGCAAGATGGCAGCCCGTCTCAGGTGGCGACCAAGCCACGAGGTTGACTGATGCAGTGTGGTGGGTGAACTCATATATGCGCTGCCATTGGTTGTTTTGCTCCCGCCAGATCAAAATGCGCCCATCGTAAGAGCACGAGGCGAGTATGGTGCCGTACTTTGGATGCGCCCATGCAACTCCCCATACTGCGCCCTCGTGTCCTTTCAGAGTCTCCGTCAATCTGTGTTGCTCGCCCTCTATCTCGAAGATCTTGATGGTCTTGTCGGAAGAGCAGGTTGCGAGTCGTCGCCCGTAGTAGTCAAGGACCGCATCGTGCTGTTTGCGTACTTGTCAGCTAATCTTGCTAGAGCTCAGGTGGAACGTATGATGCGTACAATCACATCATCATGACCGGAGTTGGAGATGACGGTCGTCTATATAGCTGTCTGTTAGCTATCTGGCTCTGCATTGACAATGATGCAATGCTTCATTACCATTGTGGAGAGATGCTGCCCGCGATCGTAGCAGCCACTGGGTAGAAGAGGCTATCGTTGGTCAAGTGCAGGGTGTGTGGAAGGTGTATGTGACACCTTTAATCAAATGGACAGGAAATAGGGACACACTCCACGTCAGAGAAATCTGCGGTTGACCACGCTAAAAGCGGAGTTGACCAACGTCCGTATAGCCGAGTCTATGCGTAACCGTGCATATGGTTAGCCGCAAATTAGCGCCTACGTATCTACTTTCCTACTAATCGACTAATTCTTTCCCTTCCCTTTCCTTCTACTATACGAATGCCCGCTTCTTAGACTATATAGATTACGAGTACCGAACAAAACTACTATCTAAAGTACCGACTAAAGCTATAGAGACTCTATTAACCTTTCTTCCCTATATATAGGAAGATTATGAATATAAATATTCTAATAAGCTCATCTCGCATACCGAGTCTATTAACGAGCGCGTATATATAAGTATATAGATATATATACCCTTTAGCTTACCGAGATATAGGCCTCTAATGTCTTTACGTTAGGAATGCTTACGGAAGAAGATCGCATCGCCTTAGAGGCTATAGAAGACAAGTAGCTAGAAAGCAATATTATAGGCTTAGCTATAGCTAATAGTATGCCTATACTTTCTAATAAAACTTAGCTACTTCCTCGACCCGGGCCTACCCTTATTACAAATGCTATATATACCCCGCTTTCTATTAAGTATATCGAACATATTGCTACGATACTAGAATACCTAAGTAGTTATAACTATAGCTATATATATGTCGTTCTACTTGCGGATTACTATAACTATACCGATCTTATCCTAGAGAACGTTATAAAGATTCCGGCCGTTCTTAAATATAGAGTATATATAGGCGTGTATATTGTTATATATATGCTAATATATATTAGATGTAATATAGGGCAAGGCAGCCCTATTCCCTAAAGGAAACTAAAGCGTCGTACTTTAATAGCGTATCCTATATTCGGGTACGGAAGAATTGTAGCGGTGTTAAGATATGTTAATATACTTACTTATATCTCCGGGAGGGCGCTACGCACTATCGCCTTACGGACGAGTACCTAAACTAGAGGGTTAATTCTATACCTCCGCTCGTAAGGATATTCGTACTAAAAGGAGAAGAGACGCAATACCGGGTAGAGAACTTATATACGTATATATATCCGTAGTTGGATAGTTTACCGAGTACTAACCTACGGGCATAGGCTTTAGCATGTAGCACAAGTAAGATTCCGGTCGAGAAAAGCCTACGACGATTAACGCGAAGATTGTAGTTTAACGTACGAGGAGGCAGAGACGCCTATAAGTAATTAGTTATATATATAGGCATATCTATAGCTAACTGTATAGACGCTGGCTAGTTATTACTAGTACTTACTCGTATATACTAACTACTATGCATACCTACGACTATTATGCTTCCGCTAAGTTATTCTAAAAGAAGGGAAATAGTCAATCGATATACTTAAGGACTTCTTCTAAAATCCACTAGTAGGTCCGACTAACGTTTGTACGGTTGTTAAGCCGACAAAGGTAGTTCATACGATATGCCGTAGGTACGTCTAGACCTATAGGTATAGATTAGCTAACACCGCGTAGAAGTCGATCACTTATAAGGGTAGGGCAAGCTCGTTACGTAAGAGTGTAAGGTTAAGTTCGATTTTATCGTCCCGCGCGATCCTATAAGGACGCCCTATATAATAATCGTATCTCGGGGCAAATATACGTATATACTACCCCCTCCGACGAAAGTCCCTACTCTTATCGAGGAAGAGCTAAAGGAATTAATTAAGAAGTGCATTTCGCCGGACCTAACAACGGGTATATATATAGCTATACCTATAGACTTCCGCTTACGTAGTCCTTAGCCCGATTCTAGGTCTATCCGATATTGTAGCAGTTCCTTAATAAAAAAGGGGTACTATTACTTACTAAGCTCTATATTGCTTTGAATAATACTTCGCGCTTAACCGCGATAATAGTAAAGCTCAAGTATACGGAGTATAGTTACCTTCGCGATATTAACGTAGTAGAATAGGCATACAAATAGCAGAAACTCAACCCGAAGACTATACGTCCTTATCTATAGCTATAGATGCTAATATACGCTAATTTAGTAGCAATATATCTAAGACGTATATATCTCCCCTACAGGTATATAGACAGTAGTATGCTTTTATAGGGAACAAGTAGAGATCTTTACGTCTCTCTAGTTATTCGACGTCGATATGTCCTATAAACGTATCGCAGGATCTAATATAAACGAGGTTATCTTTGCGGTTGAGTTAGGTTAGAATAGAAAGCGTATATATAGGCTAACCTATAGCTATATACCTGCTAACAAGATAGTCTTCACCTTAGCTCGGGTTATCTACAACGAGAAGAATACTAATCGGATATATTATCTCGTATAGAAGCGCCTATTTACGACCTTAGCGGCTGTCGTAGGTGTAGGCAGATGTAGGTAGGTATATATCTACGGGGATACGGACGGGTAGCACTATATCGCAGTCGATTAGCTCGGGTGCTAATATACTAGTATCTATACCCTAGCCTATGCCCGTACCTATACTAACCTATAGGCCTTAGTCTCTATCTACACGAAATCGACCCCCTCTATACGGCGGAGTATTACCTACAGTATATACTTATACTCTATCGTATACACTTTATTAGGAACGTAGATAAGGTTATAAGCAAATAGCGTAGTAGGGTTACTATAAAAGAGCGAGAAGATATACTATCCCTTATCGACGCTCCGAGTAGGTAGGAGTACTATACGATTATCGGCATCCTCTAACGTACGTCTATATATATAGCTATAGACATTCGCTAATATATATAGGGTCTTGGAATAAAGATCTCCGTAACTAGGCGACGAACAAGAAAAACGATATTATTGCAGCCGCGCTTAACCCCGAGTATACGCTTATAAACAAGGACATATATAGAAGCAAACGGGCGGATATAAATGCTAACGAACAGACAGGATATAAGTTATACTCATTCGGAACCGACCTACCTTTAATAATAGGTATTTCTAGAGCTACGACTATAGATATACGCGATGTCGATTAGTTCTAGGGTTAGACCGACTACCGCGTAAAGCATACGTTAGTAAATGTCTCTATCTAGTCTAGACACGAGAGGGCACTATAGAAGCAAGGTAAGAGCTACCTATTAGCAGATTTATGCCCGTACTAATAGCCGTAGTTGTAAAGAAGACTAGATATAAACAGGAAAAGGCTGTAAGGCTAGCGTACTAAGAGCAGGCCTCTAGCAATCTCTATAAGTATAGGAGTAACAGTAAGGATAAGCGTACTACTAGGGTTAATAATGCGCATCGCGCCGCTAAAGCTTAGGTTGGAACAATTCCTACCCGGAGGACCCTCCTAGAATAGGAAACACGTTTACAATTACGGGATATCGAGCCTAGCCTACCGCTATATCTACGACCGTTATAACGCCTAACCGGAAGTCTAAGCCCTACGCCCGCCCTACGACCGTTATAACGCCTAAGCCTACTACCCGGGATTCGCCTATATATAATCCCTATCCGGGATCCTAAACTAGAGGTTACTAGCCGGCGACGAAAGCGAGCGAGTACGGAAAGTATGCCTCTACCTTTACGCGTTCCTACGCCTAGAGAAAGGGGAAACTAGAGATTAGTTACTAACACCGCTATATTAGGACCTAGCCGCATTAGAACGCCTATAGGTACGCCTATAGATATGTCTCGAGACGGGATTCAACTTTAAGATCAAACCCGAATTGTCCCTAGCTATAACTAGCCGATAATTAGACAGCTAATACAGCTACTAACAATGCCGCTAATACAGCTACTAATAGGACAGCTAATGCAGCTACCGATAGGACAGCTAATACAGCTACCGATAGGACAGCTAATGCAGCTACCGATAGGACAGCTAATGCAGCTACCGATAGGACAGCTAATGCAGCTACCGATAGGACAGCTAATGCAGCCCCTAATAGGACAGCTAATGCAGCTACCGATAGGACAGCTAATGTAGCCACCGATAGGACAGCTAATGTAGCCCCTAATAGCTATACCAATGGCCGCGACAATGCCTTCCTTAATGCCTCCGGTTATATAACCTACCTTAATATATCCGCCAATACTAGCAGAGATCGCTAGTTTATAGGCGGAGTATCTACGGGCGCAGCTACGGGTATACGACGAGATAGCTCGCTAGTTAAGAGAGGGTCGGAGATAGCTATATATATAGGTTGTATTAACATCTTTTTGGCATATATCACGTATATAGACATAGTCGAGCATATATATATAGGCATAACTCGAGGGAGAGCCTTATCGTGAGCGCATAGGTATGTTCAAAGGGTAGATAAACTAGGCTAAAATTACCCTAATATTGAAATAATATTAAGCCTTTATTACTAAAAGGAAATGCAGGCGCATGCCTAAAGCGTAAGGTATGCGCATACCTATACGCAGCCGTATACAGAATAGAGGTAGTAACTAGAATAATAGTAGTAGAGATAAGTAATATTTGTATTAATATATAACGAGAAAATTTAGAGAGAGAGCGATATCGTAATAACGTAAAATGTAATAGCTATAGAGTATTATTAATAAGTATAGATCTAAAAAAATAAAAAGATCTTTTTAGCTATATATATATAGGGCCTTCTACTATATAGGCAAACAAGTTAAACTATTTACTTTATATTACACTAGCGTAATAATCTTATACTAATATAAAATAATACTAAGCCTTTATTACTAAAACGGAAGAACAGACGCATATCTAGAGCGTGAGATATGTGCATACCTATGTAGTGTCTTATATAGAATAATACGTAAAGGGATAATAAAGTAGGACAAAACTAAGCTTTAACTATAATAATTATATTAGAGATAATATCTCTATTAATATATATATAACGAGAAAATTTAGAGAGAGAGCGATATCGTAATAACATAAAATATAATAGA